TCAGATAATCTATCCTAAAATAATAACAAAGTTCAATATTAGATTGGAAGATACAATACATTGTATATTCATGTACTATTAGAATAGCTAAAGGCCATATTATTGCATAGAATGTTACTGGGAGGTAAAACAAGAAACTTGAATAGTGATGGTCTTCAAGGAAAAAGAGATGGGAAAAAGACTTCTTCCCCAATATTCTTTTCTATCTTCTGATTTGGCACATATACCTAATTTTTATAAAGTTAAGCATACGTAATTGCGATTATAAACGCCATGTACATTTCCTTCTTACAAGTACATACTTGCATTGCCTATTTTGTTCTGAAAAAAATGAAGTAATTTTTTAAAAAAACATTTTAAAGATGTGTCAGAGTGTTGAGTAAGAGAATTCTGCTTGACTATGATATCTAGCAATAGATGACTAAATATATTTTATTTTAAATTTTTTTAGTTGTAGATGAACACAATATCTTTTTTCAAATATATTTTTTAGTTGTGGGTGGACACAATATCCTTATTTTATTTATTATGTGGTGTTGAGGATCAAACCCGGTTCCCCACACATGGTAGGCAAGAACTCTACCACAGCCACAACTCCTGCCCCTCAGTATCTTTATTTATTTATTTTTATGTGGTGCTAAGAACTGAACCCAGTGCCTCACATTTGCTAGGCAACTGCTCTACCACTGAGCCACAAACCCAGCCCCTAAATATATTTTAGTGTTAGATGAGACAAATATTAAGAACATTTTAGATTTTTACTTTCCCTGGAATTGGTTTGTTTTCCCCACCAGTACTGGGGATTGAATCCAGAGGCCCTTTACTATTGAGTTACATACTCCCAGCCCTTTTTTATTTTGAGACAGTGTCTTGCTAAGTTGTGGAGTCTGGCCTTTAACTTTTGATCCTCATGATGTAGCCTCCCAAGTAGTGGGACTATAGGCATACATCACTGTACCTGGCCCCTAGATTGGTTTTTAAAAATTACTTCATTCTAGGAGCTACGGTTGTGGCTCAGTGGTAGAGCACTTGCCTAGCATGTGTGAGGCACTGGGTTCGATTCTCAGCACCACATATAAATACATAAAAAACAGCTAAACAATGACACAGTTGATCATTCCACCCTCCTTGAAAACTTCCTTTCCTCCACTTCCACAACATCACACTCCCCGAGTTCTCCTCCTTATTCACAGATCTCTTTTCAGTCTGTTGGGTTACTCTTCATTCCTCCAATGTATCTAGAAGGTAAGTCCCATGAAAGTAGAGGTTTCTGTCAGCTTTGTTCACTGCTGTATGACCTAATGGCTAAAAGAGTACTTAAACCATCCATATTAAGTAACTGTAGAATGAATGAATCAGTCAGTGCCCCAAGGCTCAGATGTCTTCTCTACCTCAATTCATTCCCCTGATGATCTCAACATCTCTTCACTTTACATGTGTCAGCTGAAAATAGACAAATTTTCACTCAGCCTAGACATTTTTCCTAAACTTGTGTTTTCCCCAAACATGCTCCACCAAATGCCACCTCCATCTCAGTTACTGACAACCTCATTCTTCTAGTCTTTCAGGCCAAAAACTTGAGTTATTCTTTACTCTTCTGTTTTGCTCACATCCCACATCCAACCACCAGCAAATACTATAGGTCTACCCTCAAAACAGACCCAAACTTCAACCACTTCTCACATTTCCTCTTGCTATCACCTGGGTCAGAGCCATTCTCATCTACAACACTGTAAAAGAACCTCCTGACTAGTGGCCTTACTTCTCCACAGCACCCCTGCTCTAAAGTCCCACTGCAGTCAGAGCCATTCTTTCACAGCATAAGTCAGATTATATCAATGGTCCACAGCAGTTCCCATACCTTACTCAATGTCAAACTTAGAAGCCCTCCTAGTCTACATGCCTCCTGCACCCTCATCTCCATTCCCTATTATTCTCTCTTGCTTCATTTCTCTTCATGGCACTTACTAGCATCTAAAATTCATTTACTGGTTTATTTACGTATTTTATCATCTATTTCCTCACTTAAGATAAAAGCTCCAAGATGATCCAGATTTTTATCTACTTTGTTCACTGCTATACTGCCAACACCTAGAATACCTTGGTAATACATGCTTAATATGTATTTATTAAGTGAATGAATGAATGAATAATGTTCATGATAAAAACGTCAAAAGATGTTAGTGAACCAACTAATTATGTGCCAGGACTGTTGTAACTATAGAACTAACTCATTGACCAACCTAAGAAGTTAGGTATTATTGCTTTTATTCCCATTTTGCAGAGGAAGAAACTGAGATACAGGCTAAAGGTAAGAAACGGAGGTTAAACAGTCTGCCTTAGGTCATACAATGGCAAGGTCGGGATTTGAACTCAGGCACAGTGACTCCAAGAGCACACAATCCAAGACATGGAAAGACCTGAATAGCCATAGATAGAATCACATTATAGCCTATGACATGACTATGTTAAAATTATTTTATTGCATTTCTCTGAAAACTGATAATCAGTGTACTGATTATTTGACAAATCACAATATTTTGCTCCCTGATCTTTCTGTCAATGTTTCTAATACACTACACATAAAATGCACATTTAACAGCTCTCATGCTACTTCTAAAAGCATAAACATAGTATGAAACAGTGCTGTTGACATGAGAACATTCATTTTTAAGTTTCCAATACTAATGTTTAAGTAACAAACTGGCACACTAATCTAAGGATTTAGCAATAAAGAACAAAAAACAACTTATCAGATTCAATGAGGAATCACAAGGAATGACTAGTAAGCAATATTTCTTAAATAACAAAACGTAGAAGGCACAGTAATGCACACCTGTAACCCCCACAACTTCGAAGGCTAAGGCAGGAAGACTACAAGTTCAAGTCCAGCCTACACAACTTAGTCAGACCTTGTCTCAAAATAAAAATTTTAAAATGGGTGGGGGACATAGTTCAGTGGTAAGGTGCCCCTGGATTCAATTCCCAGTAGCTCCCTTCCAAAAAAAATTGTAGGTTTTTTTTTTCCTCAGGTATAAGAAATTCTTATTACTACATTGCTTCTAAATTGGACTTTCCCCCAAATTACATGATTTCATCCTTACAAAGTGAATAATCACACCTCACATCCAACAATGCAAAAGTCACTTTAGAAGTATATACACACAAGCTTAGCCAATATCTTAGTTCACATTTGTCCCAATTAGGTCAATGTATAATCTAAAAGCCAAAATGAAATATGTGGATTTTAAGTTCTTCTTCCAATTCATCTAAAATCAAAATCAGTCACTATACCAACGTATAATTCAATCTGTCCGAACACTTGCTTAATATTTAATTTACAATCACAAACTGAAACACACATTCTCAATAGATTTATTATATACTGTTTCCTCTAAATCTCTTTAAGCAGAAGTATTTGCTAGAGGAAAATTGTCTGCTCAGTAAGTAGGCATTTTAAAAAAGCAACGATCTGCAACTACTGTAACTAATCTGTATATTTCTCTCTTGGGTTCCAGGAAAGCACTTCCCTGGCTATTTTCCCAAATAAATTGGGTAAGCCTTGGGAAAGTCACTGCTTAAATTCCGTCTCATGACGGTTTCTCTTCCTCCATAAATGAATTATTGAGAGTCATGCCTACTAACATCCATTACATAATTCATGTCTATCAAAAGACCTGTTTTCTGAAAAAGAAATAGCTTAAATAGCTTAACTGATAAGTAAGAATACTGTAATTTAACAGAAAGCAGGCATCCAGAAAAGATTCACGTTTACTGTCCTAAGTTGTGGAACATCAATGTGAACAACACTCAACACTGTTCATTCAGTAACATCTCCAATAACGTGAGACACATGCTCCCAAAATGTTGTTAGAGCATTTCAAAGCACCTAACCTTAAGAACATATCTCAGAAATTGTGACCTACCTTTAAAAAAAAATCCATTTCATTTTTAAAGTGTTTAATAAATACTTAAATACATCTACAATTGAGAAATAAAAACAATCACCAAGAATTCAGTGCTGAACACAAAATTTCTAAATGTCCAGGACTACTGAAAAACAAGCTGTAAAAAACAGCTGTGCTTTGAAACGTTTAAGCGTTTTTCATACAATTACCTTAAAAAAAAAAAAAAAAACCTGTTCAAATTGTTCATTTTACCCACTCAAAGCTGTCAACAACAACCACCTGCAACTACTACTTGGAAAGATGTCTTTCAAAGCAATCATCTGAGTCTCAGGCCTCCTCTCAAGGGGCCAGAATAAAGACTTTGAAAAAAAATATTTTAAGTGGTATAAAGAGATCTTTTAGGCACAGAGGAAAGAAAACTGGAAGACAACACCTTTAAGGAATTATGAGTAAATGAGACCAATTTCCTAAAGGTTGGTGCCAGAATGAAGTTATTTAAACCCAAGATCTCCCCTCTTCTAGGGTGTGAAACTTCAGATCCATCCACGCTCACAATTTACCCAATCCAAAGGGAATTCTCTTCACTACCCGACCCCCAACCCACCCCGTCAGGAAAAGAAAATGAAACAATCAAGACGCTAAAGTAGAAATGTGAGATTTAGTGCAAAGCTTCTCCGACTAACTCCAAGGCAACATCCAAAGCTCATCTCCTTTTTGAAATAAAACCTTTCATCTTCTACCTCACCACCCCCCCCCCAAAAAAAATCATCTTCAATATTTTACATCAACCATCTAAACCCACAGATCCACCCTGACCGCACCCCAACCACAGGGCTCTTTCCCCCCTACCTCGCGAGGAACATCACACCTCATACCTCTGCGACCCCGGTTCTCCCAGAGCCCAGAGCCCCCACCTCCCACCTAGCCCGAGGTCCCCACCGCCACCGCCTCAGCTCCCGCCCAATCACGAAGCTCGGCTGGGTGGAGCCCGCCGGTGGGCTAGGGTGGGTTGGGGTGGGATCCGCCCTCCCGTACTTCACCATCCCCCCCCCCCAGCCAGCAGTGGAGGGGGAGGGGGTCCCGAAGCCTCACCTACAGCTCCGCCCCTCCCCGGGGGCGCTCTGCCCTGCCCAGCCAGGGCCGGGGGCGAGAAACCCAGTAGGGGAAGCAGAAGCCTCAGCGCCAGCGACAGGCGGGAAGCGCGAGGTCCCGCCCGACTTCCGAGCTGCCGCCACCGCGGCCGTCTCACCCTCCTCGGGGCTGTTGCTGCCACTGCCGCCCAAGCGCCCCCGCCGCAGTCACTACCACAGCCGCCGCCGCCGCCACAGCCACGGCGCGGCCCGGGCACCCGCGACGTCACCGCGCCCCGCCCCCTGCGCGAGACACCTAGACCCGCCCCTAGGCCCGGCCGCGCGACGCGCGTGCTCCTTCCCTGGCTCCCCGCCCTGTTTTCCCTCACCCTCCTGGGAACGTAACGCGGGGTTCGCAGCATCTGGGCGCCTACCGGGGCGCGTCGACACAGGGTCTAGCAAGAAGAGTGACTCGGAGCTACAGTGGTAATTCGGCGCTGAAGCCAAGTCGAAGACGCGGAGTGTACACACGGCCCTGCGGCCACTGGAGGGGAGCGCCAGGGCAGCTCTGGCAAGAGGCGGTAGGTGGGAGCGAGTCGAGGCGGCGTTTGTCTCCTTCTGCTTGCCGTAGGAAGTGGACTGCTGGAAGCCTAAAGAGCGACTCGCCTCTTTCCCAAACCTTACAGTCGCCCCACCCCCTCCTTCGCGGCCCGTTACAGGAATCCGGCCACCGCCACCACCGTAGGGAGTACTTGGGGGTTGTCTGTAGAGTCACGGCTGCAGTGGGCAGCCTTTGTCCAAGGGACGTTCGATTTTCTCCTCGCCCTTAGCTTTTGTGCCGCGGAGAGGCAGTGCGCTGCTAAGAAACACCGGGGCTGTCCACGCCGGCATCGCCGAAGTCCCTCGCCACTGTAGGTCGTTTTCCTTTGGAGATTATTCCAGCACAGGAGAGCGTGAGCGGAAATTAATGTCCGCATGCAGTCCCTGCGCTGTGCCAAGTGCCGGACTACGTTACCTGTTTAATTTAGCCCTTACAACACCAAAGGCGGATCTACCGGGCAACCGGTCCCCAGTTTGATGCAACTTAATTTTCTCACGCTGAATTGCAGTCTATTTTCGTTTTGTCAGAGCCATGCTAAGAGGTTTACAGCAGCCATTAATTTAATGTAGATAAACTATCTATAAACCGACAGAGTGACGTGAGTTATATTTATTCCCTGCCTCTCCGTGTTTATTAAGATAACTTAAAATGCCTTTGAGATGAGTGGAATTCAGAGTCATTTCATTCACACCTCCCACCACCATAATTAACTAGTTTACACTCCCTCACAATCTCATTAACCTTTTCCCCGTCTGTCTTTAGTCTTCACATTCATTCACCTAATTCTACTGTTTGATCCCGCCCAGGTTCTCTTATTTTTTTTCCCTCCCAGGATACACTTGAATCACTGCAGCTCTTGGGGACCTGAAGTCTCCCCTTTCAGTACTTCCAACATATGACTACCAATTGTTAGAGGAGGTGCTGCTTGACAAGGTGACTGTAATAGCTGCCATAAGACAGGCATCCTAAACTAATTCATTTCCTAGATATCCAGGTACTGGATAAAAAAAAAAAAAAAAGCTTTTTTTTCCCTCTATTCTTTAACCACTTTCAAGAACTTTCTCATCTCAGCCTCAAAGTCTAACCAAATTTCCCTTACCAGAAGTTTGGACTTGGTTGGATCTGTCCCCCTTTCTTTTTTCCAGTTTATCTTTGGTAATGGCACTATCTGACCTATGGGTGCCCCACCATTGTATTCTGGAAACACTTATTAACTTGTCTGATTCACAGCTGGAAAAGAATTTTGCCTCAGGATGACTCAAGAAGGGTCTGCAGCATTTGGGCGCACCCATACCTGATTTAGCTAATACATACTGAGTATTCTTTATCTGAAATGCCACAACTATAAGTGTTTCAGATTGGGATTTGTTTTTTTGAATACTTGCATTTATATAATGAGCTATTTTAGGGAGGGGACCCAAGTCTAAATGAAGTTCATTTATGTTTCATATACACATGATACACATCCTGAAGGTAATTTTATATAATATTTTAATAAATGTAAAAACGGAGTTTCTTGGGATTTTCCACTTGCAGTATCATGTCAGCATTCGAAAATTTTTGGATTTTGAAGCCTTTCAGATTTCCAGATTAAGGATGCATCATCTGTATTTTTCTGCTTTGTTTTGCTTTGTTTTTTTAAGATGGGATCCTTATGTTGCCCAGGCTGGTCTGGAACTCCTGAGAACCAGGGATCCTCCTGCTTCAGATTCCTAAGTGCTGAAATACAGGCATGTGCTGCCACACATCCAACTTCATCTGTATGTAAATAAGACTTTGGACTTACAGTTCAGCAACTGAAATGCTCAACTTTTGAGGCGGTTGATATAGGGTAAATAAAATTTTCATGTGAGAAAGACATGAATTTTGAGGATATGGAAGCATAGCATTATGGATTGAATTGGTTTCCCTCAAAACTCATGTTGAAATTTTACTCTCCGATGAAGTCATACCCAATCTGGTATTTTGATGTGACAGCCCCAAACAGACCAATATAAATACCGGGAAGAAAGTTAAAAGACAACACAGAATGGGGAAAAGTTTTGCAAGTAATGTATCTGCTATTCTCCCTACAAAGTACAAATCAAAATTAAACTATAAAAAGATACCCAGGCCTGGAGGCAGACACCTGTAATCCCAGCAGTTTGGGAGGCTGAGACAGGAGGATCATGAATTCAAAGCCAGCCTCAGCAAAAGCAAGGTGCTAAGCAACTCAGTGAGACTCGTTCTTAAAATAAAATACAAAATAGGGCTGGGGATGTGACAAAGTAGTTGAGTACCCCTGAGTTCAATCCCCAGTACCAGAAAAAAAAAAAAAAAAAACAATAAAAAGACTAATCCATTTTAAAAATAAGGAATACTGGATGCAGTGGCACTTGCCTTTAATCCTGGTGATTCTGGAGCCAGAGGCAAGAAGGTTACAAGTTCAAGGCCAACCTAGGCAATGTGTATAGAGACCCTGTCTCAAAATAAAATAAAAAGGACTGGGGATATACCTCAGTGGTAGAGTACTCCTGGTTTCAAGCCCCAGTATGATAAGAGAGAGAGAGAGATTTCTCCAAATATATTCAAATTGTTAATAAGGATGTGAAAAGTTCCTCAACATAGTCATTAGGAAAATGCAAATCAAAACTGAAACAAGATACCATATTAAACCCATTAAGAAGGCTAAAATTAAAAAGAAATGTTGGTTAGAGTGTGAAGAATTGGAGCCCTCATATATTGCTACAGGCAATGTAAAATGATGTAGCCATTTTGTAAAATCATCTGCCAGTCCTTTGAAAAGTTAAAGTTTCCCTATGACCCATCAATTCCACTTCTAAGTATATAGCCAAGAAAATGGAAAACATGTCCACACAAAAGTTTGTATGTGAATATTACAGCAGCATTATTTATAATAAATATACAGTAGAAACTAAATCCCTCATGATTTATGAAAAAGAACCCCTAGCTTTTCATTCATTGCTGGCTTGCAAGAAAATGAGGGCATTGCCCTTAAAGTCTTAGTGGCCTATAAACAACAATTTTTTTCCTCACTAGATTGGGAATTTGTAACTGTTGGGAGTGGCAGGGGCAAGAGTTGACTGCCCTGGCAGCACTCTAGATACAAGTCAAATTCAAGTCACTTCCACATGTCTCTCATTCAAGGACCAGAGTAAAGGAGTGGTATTTTCCTGATGATGAAAGATAAGCACACTACAGAACTACTAAACTACAGAAACTGATGTGAATAGAAGTTCTGTGTGCTCACATTAACAAAGCAAGTCATATAGTTAGGTCCAACATAGTGGTATAAGGAAGTATACTCTGCCCACTCATTCCACAGAGTAGAGGGAGAGAAGAAAAAGGGGAAGAAAAATGACTTGGCCTTACCTTTAAGAAAACTCAACAAAAATTGTGCACTTCACTAATCCATGTATCTCAGGGTAAAATCTTAGTGTATACAAAAAAAGAAAATTTAGTACATTGTCATTCTTTGTCTGAAGGCAGATAAGAAATACAGCCTCCATTCTGGATTGTCATGTACCCAAGTTAAAATTAAGAATATCTATTACTACTGGCGTAGTGGCACATGCCTGTAATCCCAGCAGTTTGGGAGGCTGGGGAAGGAGGATCATGAACTCAAAGCCAGCCTCAGCAATTTAGTGAGGGCCTGAGCAACCCAGAAAGACCCTTTCTCTAAACAAAATATAAAACAGGCTGGGGATGTGGCTCAGTGGTTAAGCGCTCGTGGGCTTCAACTCCTGGCACCAAAAAAAAAAAAAAAAAGAATATTACTAAAAACCAAGGATCAAGAAATGGGATACCATCAAATTAAAAGCTACCCAGCAAAGGAAATGAACATGAAGAGAGAGCCTATAGATGGAGAAAATCATGACCAGCTATCTACTCCTTTATTAGGGGATTAATATTCAGAATATATAAAGAACTCAAAAGATAACCCAATCAATAAGAGAGCAAAAGAACTCAACAAACTTCTCAAAAGAAGAAACACAAATGGCCAACAAATACATGAAAAAATCTTCCAACATCTCTAGCAGTCAGAGAGATGCAAATCAAAACTACACTAAGATTTCAACTTACTCCAGTCAGAATGATATTGATCCAAAATACAAACAATTATAAACTTTGGTGAGGTTGGTGGGGAAAAGAAACACTTAAACATTATTGGTAGGACTACAGACTTATAAAACCACTCTGGAACGCAGTATGGTGATTCCTCAAAAAACTAGGAATGGAACTACCTACCATGTGATCCAGCTGTCCCACTCCTTGTATTTTCCCAGAAGATCTAAAGTTGGCATCAGTAGTGATACGGCCACTTCAATGTTTATAGCAGCATAATTAACAATAGCTAAATTATGGAATCAACAATGGAGTTCTGCTCAGTCATAAAAGAGAATGAAATTATGATGTTTGCCAGTAAATGGATGGAAATGGAGAATATCATGCCAAGTGAAATAAACCAAACTCAGAAACTCAAAGGTTAAATGTTTTCTCTCATGTGGAAGCTAGAGTAAAATAAAGGAAAGAAGGAGGGAAGGATAGTACAACATGAAGATAAAGGGAAGATCAGTAATTTAGAAGAGAGATTGAGAGGTGGAGTGGAAGGATGGATAAGGGGAGGCAATGCAGAATGAATTATTTAAAAATCATGTGTATGTATGATATACCACAGGAAATTTCACCTTTATGCATAAGTAAAAAGAACCCATCACTTAAATGTATAGATGAGTGAAAGGAAGTCTAGTAAAGTAGAAGAAGGAGAATGGGAGATGGGAAGGAGGACAGGAGGGAAAAGGCGATAATCGCGGACTGGAATTGAATTCCATACATGTATGAATTTGTCAGGATGAACCCAATTACTATGCATAACTATAAAGCTCTAATAAAAATAATAATATTAATAATCCCCTTATATTTCTTTTTTTTAAGAGAGAGAGAGAAAATTTTTTTAATATTTATGTTTTAGTTTTTGGCGGACACAACATCTTTGTTTGTATATGGTGCTGAGGATCGAACCCGGGCAGCACACATGCCAGGCGAGCGTGTTACCGCTTGAGCCACATCCCCAGCCCTCCCTTATATTTCTAGTTTAGGTTTTCTTTAAATCATTAAGAAAACACTATAAAAATATTTTACATTCCCCTTTTTCAAATTGACATATGGTTTATTCTGTTAATGTTTTGAATTAAATACAGAATACTAATGCAAATGTTTAATAATGGAATAAATTTGAATCAAGGTATATAAAAATCCAGGCGTGGTGGCGCACACCTGTAATCCCAGCGGCTAGGGAGGCTGAGGCAGGAGGATGGCAGGCTTGAGGCCAGCCTCAGCAATTTAGCCAGACTCTAAGAAACCTAGCAAGACCCTGTCTCAAAATAAAAAATAAAAAGGGCTGGAGATACGGTTTAGTGGTTAAGCACCCTTAGATTAAAACGAAAGATATATATTTTTAACAAAAGAATATCTGGGACTGGGGTGGGGCTCAGCAGTAGAACACTTCCTAGCATGTGTGAAGCACTGGGTTCAATTCTCAGCACCACATATAAATAAATAAATAAAGGTCTATCAACAACTAAAAAAATATATTTAAAAAAAAAGAATATCTGTTACTAGCCAGGTGCCATAGCACACACCTTTGATCCTAGCTACTTAAGAGGCTAAGACAGGAGGTAAATTTAAGGCCAGCTCAAAATACCAAAAAAAAAAAAAACAAACAGGTGGCTCACACCTGTAATCCCTGGGTCTCTGGAAGCAGTTCAAAACCAGCCTCAGCAACAGGGAGGTGCTAAGCAACTCACTGAGACCCTGTCTCTAAATAAAATACAAAATAGGACTGAGATGTGGTTCAGTGCCCCTGAGTTCAATCCCCAGTACCACCCCTCCCAAAAAAACAACAAAAATTAATGGTATTGACTCAACTGCTGAGTTACGTCCCCAGAGTCTCACTAAGTTGCCCAGGATGACCTCCCGCGTGTGTCTCAGCCTCTTAAAGTGCTGGTATTACATGTGTATACCACCACCTGGCTCAAAAATGTAAAATATAAAGGGTTGGGGATCTAGCTCAGTAGTAGAGCACCACTGGGTTCAATCTTCCATAGGGGGTGGTAGGGCAAGGTCTATTACTGAAGTATGTAGAAAATGACTATTGAGAGGAAACCTGTGCCACAACTTAAAAAAAAAAAAAATTCACTGAAATTTCAAAACTTCATTGATACATTCAATACATCTGAAGAACAAGTGAAATGGAAGATCCAACAAAAGAAAGTATGTATAATGCAGCACATAAAAAATGAAGATAAAATATGACAGATTAAAAAGCAGTTTCCTAGTTTAAATCTATTTAGAAATCCAAGAATGAGGTCAGTTTATTTTCAAAGTGATCACGAGTTCTTTCCAAACTGATAAAAGACATTAATCTATAAATCAGGAATCCCTAAGAATACTAATCAGGATAAATGAAAAAATGTCCTAACTAGAAATATTGTAGTAAAATTTAGATCGTAGAAGACAAAGACCACATCTTAAAATCAGTTGTATTAGTTTCCTAGGACTGCCTATAACAAAATGCCACAAACAGAATGGTTTGGACAATTGAAATTTTTGTCTCACAGGGAGTGTAGCTCAGTGGTGGAACTACACCACTACACATGTGCTTAGCATGCACATATATAAGGTCCTGGATTTGATCTCTAGCGGCAAAAAAAAAAAGTTCTGGAGGCTACAAGTTCAGAATCAAGGTGTCAGCAGGATAATGCCCCCTTTGAAACCTGTAAGGACATTCCTTTCTTGCCTCTTCCTGGCTTCTGGTGATTTGCTGGAATTCTTTACAAAGAATTGCAAAGTTGCAGCACTTCAGTCTCTGCCTCCATCATCACATGGAACTCTCCCTATGTCTTTTCTCCTGTTTTTACTTGTTTTGTTTATGGTTGTTTTGTTTTGAGATGGATTTCTCTATATTGCCCAAGCTGTCCTCTAACTCCTTTATTCAAGTGATTCTCCTGTTTCAGCCTTCCAGGTGACTATAGGCACATGCCACTATGCTTGGCTTTCCAGTTCTTATAAGCCACACAAGTTATTTGGTATTAAGAACCCACTCTCCTCCAGTGTCTTCTCATCTTAACTAATTATGTCTGCAATGACACTATAGATGCTCCTCATTTATGATGTGGTTAGCAACCCTGTAAACCCATCATAAATTGAAAATATTTTGAATCCATAATGCATTTAATACACCTAGTCCACCAACCATCATAGCAACAGTACATTGTGTTATCAATTATTTCCGCTCATGATTGCATGGCTGACACAGCTGTAGCTTGCTATTGCTGCTCAGTGTCACCAGAGTATTCATACCTCATATTACTAGCCCAGATGAAAGATCAAATTTCAAAATTCAAAGTATGCAAAATCCATGTCATTTTTGCACTATCTTCAGTCAAAAATTCATAAGTCAAACCATCATCAGGTAAGTACCATCTCTATTTCAAAATAAGGTCAACTTCTGAGGTACTGTGGGTCACAATCTCAACATATTTTTTTTGAAGGACATAATTCAACCCATAACATCGATCAAATAAAGTTCAGCCTCCTGACAAAGGAACATCAATTAGAATAACAGCAGAATGTATAAACAAACAAGAAGTTACAGAAGGTGGAAAAAAATCTTGAGGTGCTGAAAGAAAAGAAACTGTTATCTTAGAATTGTGTACCCAATGAAACATTTTATAAGATGAAGGGAAAAATAAAGATACTTTCAGGTATATAAAAACAGTTTTACTAGCAATTTATCTTCATCAAAGAAGAATCTAAATTATACTTCAGAAGAAAAATAACCCTATAAAAAGATGTGAAACACAGGAAGATGGTGATCAAAAAAATTGGTGAACATGCAGGTAAATCCAAATACACAGTGTTTGTTATTTAAGAAGAAATAGAAATTCTGAATGTTCTAGAACAAATTTAAATAATAGTAAATGCTATTGAATTTCTTAAAAAATTATACTGGGTTTGGTAGCATACATTTGTAGTTCCAGCTACTTGGGAGGCTAAGGGAGGAAGATTCAGAGTTTGAGTCCAATCTGGTAAAATAAATTCTCATATTTTTTTTAAAAGGCTTAGATTATTTGATAAATTAGTTATACAGAATATTCAAGGAAGCCAGGCAAGGTGGTACACACTTATAACCCCAGCAGCTAAAGAGGCTAAGGCAGGAGTATTTCAAAACAAAAAAGATGTGAAAGAGAATGGTTCTACTCTAGCTCATTCAGTTAAGTATATAAAATATTGATACCAAAGCCAGACAAGGATAGTAAAAGAACATTAAATTGTAGAACAATTATACTTACAAAGAAAGATGCAAAAATATAAATTGCAAAGCAAATTCAACAGCATACTTAAAAGGGTAGTGTATTATAGCCAAGTGGAGTTTACCCAGGTTTACAAATTGACAATATTTGAAAATCAGTTAGTGCAATTCATGGGCTGGGGATGTGGCTCAAGCGGTAGTGCGCTCGCCTGGCATGCGTGCGGCCCAGGTTCGATCCTCAGCACCACACACAAACAAAGATGTTGTGTCCGCCAAAAACTAAAAAATAAATATTAAAAAAAAAAAGTTACTGCAATTCACCATAACATTTTAAAAATTCAATCATATCAGTAGATAAAATATTTGATAAAATTCAATGCCAGGGGCTGGGGATGTGGCTCAAGCGGTAGCGCGCTCGCCTGGTGTGCCTGCGGCCCGGGTTCGATCCTCAGCACCACATACAAACAAAGATGTTGTGTCCGCCGAAAACTAAAATAAATAAATAAATAAATATTTTAAAAATTCTCATCTCTCTGTCTTTAAAAAAAAAAAAATTCAATGCCAGTTTATCATAAAAACTTACCAAAAAGGAAATTTTCCTTAAAAAAAAAAAAAAAAAAACTATTAACAGAAATCCTCCTGGACATGGTGGCACACTCCTTCAATCCCAGCAGTTCAGGAGGCTGAGACCAGAGGATCACAAGTTCAAAGCCAACCTCAGTAAGGGCAAGGCACTAAGCATCTCAGTGAGACCCTGTCTCTAAATAAAATACAAGCGGCTTGGGAGACTGAGGCAGGAGAATTGCAAGTTCAAAGTCAGCCTTAGCAAAAAGCAAGGCACTAAGCAAGTCACTGAGACTATCTCTAAATAAAATATAAAATAAGGTTGGGGATGTGGCTTAATAGTTGAGTGCCCCTGAGTTCAATCCCCAGTACCAAATTTTTAAAAAATCCTATAACAGCAATAAAAAATTTTAAATGTACTCCTTTTAAAATCGGGGCTGGGCTGGGCCACGCTTGTAATCCCAGCGACTTGAGAGGCTGAGGCAGGAGGATCACAAATTCAAACCCAGTCTCAGCAACTTTGCAAGCCTCTGAGCAACTTGGGAGATATGGCTTGGCAGTTAAGCACCCGTGGGTTCAAGCCCTGGTACTGGACAGGTAGTTCAG